AAGCGAGCATATAACTAAAACATCAACACCAAACTCCTCGAGATAACCCACATCAGAGAGAGAACAGCCAGGTACGCTCTCACTTTTCTTATTACGAGTTGATCTTAATTGTGACGCTCTCCAAGACGAAATTATCATAGCCCCAAACACGTACTCACCTATGGATTACTATCTCTCTCTTGAACCATATGTATTTGATAAATGTCTTATATATGTCACCACAGTTATAAGTACTCCACAACCAGTATCTACTTTTCATCTGTCTTATTATCATCTAGGTTACCCCAAAACTCCTTCTACTCCATCTCCTTATATGTTGTCAATCAATTAAGTATTTGAACCTGAAACAATCATCTAGTACTTGGATTATCAGTTTATCATATTCTTATCGCAACCAACCGACATCCTGCCAAGTAATGTAATAGCTACTGCTATTCAGGAACCCTTCTTTCCCAATACAAACACACTCAATTAATCTAGGTCAAAAAATCCAGAGATAATTACAACATTCACTAGAATCAGTGCAGTCGAGCGACTAGACCATTATCAATTGAACATAACCAGATACATGTAACTCCACTGAAACAACAAGATATAAACACATGCTCATGATAAAGATATGCAACGTGGCGTCAAGTCTCAGTTGACTATGATAACCACTACGATAAAACTACGTGCCAGTTAACCGATAAGATCCTCCGTAAGCCAAATATCAGAAGGCAGTTGATGGCTTTAGTCGAGACGTATTTGTTAGCGATCTCGTGGTATCGAAAGAATACCGATATCGTGCCAGGTTACAAGTGTGGTGGTAACGCTCCTGGGGTATCGTCCACATGATGGGGGTTGCGAGCGCTTGAAGGTCAAACTGTCGCAAAATGATTGGCGCGTCACATCGACAATTCGCGAAGATTCTTAGAAGCGGTCAAATCAAGATATCTTTAGATTTGAATTGAGTTCAGCCACACCATGTCTGGTAACGTTCATTCTTCAAGTAACGAAGACGATGCCATCGTGATGATGCATGATATAGGACGAATCTTCAATGATATTATGTTATCTCGAAGATTTACAACTTGGAACAATTTTGAGACCTGTTTGAAAGAAGTGCATAAGGTAATATGACTTCTGTGGTTAATAATTATTTTTTTAGTATACTCATACTAAGAACGTTATGTCAGTATGCAAAAAGAACAGTGATGATCCAACTCTAAAGTACTTTTCCGTGAGATATGTCTGTACATATGGACGTAAACGCTGTTCGTCAGAGTAAGATGCTTGCGTTCAGGATGTAGATGATGATAGTATTCATCATTCTTCTGAAGAGCATACAACTTCTAACTCGCCAACACAACCTAGACGATGTCGGCCATCTACGTATGCCTTACTTCAAATGAAGTTATCTTTCAGGTCGAAATATTGCCATTGTCAATCCGGATTTTGGGTCCGAGCAGTAAATGGTGAGTTGAAACTCACCTCTATTAAAACCGTGCACAACCATCCTTGCACAGAAGGAAATATTTCTGTCGATCCATCGAGGCGACAATTGACGTCAAGTGAACGCTTGTATTTAAGAACATTTCTACTGAGTAACACACCAACTCGTAGCTTACGATATCTGGTTTCTTGGAAGTTCAATAAACGGCTTACCAAGGACGATATCGCCAGAATGCCTTCACAGTTGTACCCAGGTTGTTGAACTCACATTGTAATTAATTGAGTTTAGACACTAAAAATATCAATGACATTTTACAGCGCGTTCAAGCAAATACTGAAGTTAAAGTATTCAATGAAAATGGGAACATGTCTATGATTTGCTTCAGCCGCAGAGAGCAAATAACTGTTTACCACGCGTTCCCGGAAGTAATATGTATTGATTCGACTTATCAGACCAATAAAGTCTGGTAAGTAACGATTAGTAATAAAGTTAGCTGAAAGTTTTCCACTGTTCCAGCTAGTAGTAACTGGTAGTCTTGGGCAAGGGCACACTGTTATGTATGCTCTTTGCAGTCAAGAACGACGCGAATATGTCAAAAAAACTATTGGGATGTTTTAAGGAGATAACGTGCGGTACTTATGCTACACGCACTTTCATTATGGATTCGGCAGCGACCGAAATTTCAGCTGTGCAGTCTACGCACAGTCATTCTAACATAATACTTTGTTCTTTCCATGTCTTAAGAGAATTTTTCAGGAAGGTATGTGTTAGCTGTACAAATTATTTTCTGTAGTTCCGAAATCCTGATGTACGCAAATGTTTTGAACAGCTTGTGAAGACTAAACAGCCTGACATGTGAGCCTCGGTTTTCATAACGCGTTATATTCAGATTTACTCGAAAGTACGAACATCTAAGGACGCATTTCTCACGGGCGTATGATTACATAAAAGATTACTGGATTGCCAGGAAGTCAATGACTACATGCTGCCCAGTGTTCATATTTTGTATGCACATTCTAAAGATTTGATTCGTGGAGGTATGTGTGTTCCTTTATCTCTATAAGTTTTGTAGACTTATTTCGACATAGCAACCGGTGGACAAGAAAATACATAATGGACCTGGTTCTTCGTGCGCTGGACATCTCAATCTCTACAGGGAGTGATGATCTGCTAGAAAAGTTCACTAGCAACTGCCACTCAATCCATGCTCTTCGTGAACCTTTGGCAAGTAAACTCATCCAATCATGCCTCGAAGCATCGGAAGACATATGCGCACAAGTGATGAGTTTAATCGGTGGTAGTGATGAAGCTACAACGTCAGAATTCATTGTTAATACAGACCATAGCTATGCTTCTTGATAACAAGAAGTTCTAATATTGTAATCTTTTTAGTTTTACATAAATTCATTTGTATGACCATTGACTTATTCTTGTAGCGTAACGGCAGGGAGTGTACTGTGCAGTCTTATGTGGCTGTGAGACAGGGATGTTGTTTCGCGTTCTTGTGTAATAATTACCAGTTTGGCACACACGCGATTAGTCATACATACCGTTTACCAAATACTGCTACCTTGAACATGGTGTACCATACTAGTAGTTCGAATTTCGATCTGTCACGATAGATAAGAATTGCCGTAATTAAAACTAATGCGTTATGAATGAAAACGTTTATTAAAGTTTGAATCTAGCACAAATGATCCATTAGTAAATAACTTCTATTTCTTAGGAATTGTTCCCGTTATGTCTGTGAACACTCGCGAAAATAGTTGGAAATAAGATAGAAATAATTATTTCACTGTAAATGTTTACCAGAAACTAGTATAAAAACGGAAACCAGTATTCAATTACAGATCGAAAGTGCATTTAGCACACCCTCCCTTTGGGTAGTCAATCACGCTTGTTTCCTTTATCTCTTGTGATGCTTAGGAAATTCTGGGTCACAACAGACATGGATTGTATCATTTAATTCTTTGGACAGGTTGCACTTCGGAAACTTAGACGATGAACTTATATAAAGACTACTGTGTGAACTTTGAATCGTCCAATGTAACCTGCAATTCTTGATGCATATTCTATTTTATTCCCACGTAAGTTATGAGTAATTGTCATTTACGGCATCAGCACGTAAGCTAGACAGGCCTTGTTTGATTTCCGAAGATCATCACATAGGATCTCACACCATCTGGTCACCTGAGATCAAGATATCTTGACTATCGGATCTTACTTTTCAGTACTTTCTCGTAACAGCTTTATATCAGTACTTATTTATGCTATTAGTTATTTTTTCAAGAATACCGGTAGCCAAAACATTGTAGTTCTACAGAAGAGGTAGTAAAGCTAACTCAGCTCGGTCTCTGGTAAAATCTTCACATAGTTATACCCCTTCCGCATGATTATGATTTACTTCCTGGAATATAATAATTTGGTGGCTAATATATCTAACTGTGGGAGGTGATATTAACATCTTGGTATGTGTTATTATCATCTACAGAATATACATAGTATTTACAACACTCGGAACAGCTAATGTTTTCACTATCAACCTATTTCTGTCATGAAAGTCGAACAAACACAGTGAAAATCAGCCGAAATTGTGATAAAGACGAGAAAAACGATAAATCTTACCATGGTAACGTTTTTTGTAACGCAGTTTTGGTACCCTTGACGACAATACAATTTTTATGACAATATATGCCTGGATCATGCCACTTCATATAAAAATAAATGATTTGTCCACGATCATTGTATACCTTAGTAGAAATAATTGCTATTCTGTGATGCAAATACGAAAAAACTATTATAGCAGCACCTGAATAATGAATGTTCAAGGACTTCGCGATACCATATAACGCAAAATGGGAAAATACTTTTCGCCTAATTATGAAAATGGAAGATGAACTTTCAAATTTACTCATGATTAATTTCGAGCGCAACCGAATTCGTGCAAGGTGACAATCAACAGAAAAAAGTATGTCTTTAGTACAGTTAAACAATCAAATACAGTAAAACAATCTATGGTACAATTGGTTATAATAGTAATTGTTTCCATCACACTAATCGCGTTCTGTTGATAAAAGTAGGTCACTAAAGATATTTGATGTGTTGTAGAAGATATTTTATATTGGCGACGAACTTTCGGATGGTGCGCTACTAACTAGGCACTGACTTATGTAACCATAATTCTTAGTAGATTATGAGTCATTGTTTTGCTAAATCGAGATTATCAATTTACTTATTTGTAGTAACAAATAGTGTGTTGTTCCTGGAGGGGGAAAAGTGATCAAGAAAAATTTAAAAAATTATGGTTTAGTTATGTTCATGTAAAAACCAGCTCTATTATGCGGTTTGAATATGTAACATATAAACCATCTGCTTCTGGTTCCGATTCCAAGATTGTTTTAACCTTAGGTTTGTGTTATTGATGATTGTTGTCTCTTGCTTTAAGTGGTTAAATTGCATTGTATAGGCTTGCATTGTTCGGTCTTTTCTTATGTTCTCTTTTCCAGCCCTTCTCACTCATACTAATCTGCATGTTCGTGTAGAACCCGAGTTACCTTCTGGATAGACACAAGCTGCTACGGAATGTAAGTTAATTAGTATGGCTTTACTATGCTCTCCGTTATAGAACTTAGGGATTCTACAGTTTTATACATGAATTCTCACTACAGCTGGAACAATATCCAATATAGTCTTGTCGAACTGATATAACACCACTGGTTTATTCAGGTTTTTGTGGTACTAAAGAGCAGTCCTAACTGGGAAACTTAGGTGCTCGATAGCATTCTAGCCACTTAAATGTATTAGTCATGGTAGACTGAATAATCCTTCGGGGGCTTACATATTTTAAGCATAAGTCACTAAATTTGTCCTAGAGCGATGAAGCTGCTGGGAATAGTAGCTATTACATCACCAGGTAGTCATCTGGTTGTTTGGATTTAAAACTAAAGTCGTAGTGAAGTTAAAAAAATAAATAATGCCAAGTAATTAAGTACACAAATATCTGAATATAACCAACTAGACGAATAGAATACGCAAAATGATGGGATAAGGCATGTCAATTATAAGAGACCAGAATATATTGTGAGGTATGGTAAAGTTAGAACTAGCGAACACAATGATATCGTGCCTAGTGTAAATATGTATTCAACTGCCATTCCAGACGAAAGATAACCTACGACTGCGTACGTGGTTCGGAAAGTATTAACTTGTGGCTTGATAATAAGCTCCAGTAAGAAGTATTTTATCCAGGTGATCTAGATGTGATCAGATCACCTCTCAGATTTCGGCGAGACTATAATGTATGGACGAACCAATCAGATATAAGTTAACGATTCACGAATTCGGCGCGGAATTCGTTCATACATTTGGCTAACAGAGTTTGGGCATTATAGCTGATATCAGTTCGTGATGAAAACTTTAAATCTAATTTTAAACCTCAACCATCAACTATAATAAGAATTCTAACTGCTTTATAACCCTCACTCAAGGTCACTTCAGCGTCGCTAAAAGGTCGTCCATAAATTATAGTCTCACCCCCATTTTGTTGCACGTCTCCGCACATGTTTTAAGGGGATGTTCGTATCCTTTTTCAGACAACTGGAAAGTCTATGGTTACGGACTACTACACAAAATCACACTCATGTATCACTCTTAAAGTTGTGATTTATGTTCAGCGTTTACTTTGTCGTTATAAGTTTATGTTTATGTTAGCTTCATTGTTTTCGACTTGGAAGCTCATTCAGGACGTTTCTGAAACTAATACAAAAGCAAATGATCCGTCAGTCAAATTTGACTTAGAGTTTTAAAGATGTGAACATTTAAATCAAAGTCCTTGGGAGGATCAAAGGATGCTTTCTTGACTTTTTAGATTATTCGTATCCAAGTCTTCAAAGTTTGTCTTTCATTTCTACTATTGATCTAGTACAGGCTTCATCTGAGTAGTGGACATACGTCTTTTGTAGTATGTGTTTTGTCTTTACCCCAATTACCATCCACGTGTCCATTTGATTTCAATTCAAAAAACCAAATAGAATAAATAAAGACTAATAAACGGATCATAAATTTGTTAATATAGCAGCGCTAGTTTAGTGGTCGAAAGTAATTCCTGTGGTTCGCAAACTCGACTTAGTTTTAGCATGTACATGCTTTAGAAATCCATGGCTCAGCCGCTATTTAGGCGGAAAGACAATGGTTAGGAGCCCTTACTTTGTTCAATATTACTCTTCGTTTGTAGTTTCTTACTTATCGTGGGAGTTATGTTATCGTTCTCCTTTTTTCAACTTCTCATGATATGTTTAGACATTCGCAGCCTATTATTAATTCGAGAATGAGTAGCGATAGGTTCCTAATCTAGTTTTAGCAGTGGTCAGTTGCAAACTAAGTAGCTTTAAAATAGATTTTCAGGTTTTAACAGTGAGTAAAACAATCCCAATATTCCGTAGGGTTTGTTTGTTTGTCCAAGATGATAACTAACTAATAAATCTCATTCCAGCTTTAGATTTTCCCACTAGTTGACTTCTAATTTCTCACCTTATAGGCTGTCCAGCGAAAGGTTACGCCGGGCTAGAATGTCAATATACCATTTTTTGGCCGAGTATTTACTTATTGTTTTCTCATAGTTTTCCAAATTTTCAAATACATAGTTCTCATGTCCGGGAACATAAAAATACGCCTTAAGTTTATAAACAACATTCTTGGTAAATTATACAACCTAAAATACGCATTTCATTGATATAGAGAAAGCATAAAAATATTTTTCTTATAGACTTCCCCCCTGTCCGATTTGTATTGTTGAAATATTGACTTTTATTAGCACATTAATAAACAAAAAACAATTCACCAGGTTGTTTCTTTTATCAGCCTCATTTGGAGAGTTTCATCGTGTGTAGTGGGTTTGCTACCCATAAAACGTTTGGAAAGGTATAAAGAGCCCTGTCGATATTTTTCGATTATCACTCCTTAAGACTAATATCACCCATATCCCGAGGGTCGATTGTACTGTTCAGCAGTTCGCCTTTCATACTATTTGACTGAAGTCTAGCAATTCAGTATGGGGGTCTAAAAAATACAGATATTTAATTGTAATTGTTTTTAAAACACAACTCATGTGCAGTGAAGGCACGGAGTTTGCAATGTCGATGTTAAAATTATCAATGTGATCTTCGCGAAGGTCACTGTAAAGTTCGTTGTACATATCGATTATCGACTACCTCCAACCACCACCTTGCATATAGGCTTGACGTCTGTTCTTATTAAATAAATAGACGGGAATAGTTCTATTAAAAGCTGCACTTCACTTAAAGCAAAACAGGTGTTTCCAATCTTTGTTCGATGACCACAGGTACACGAGTAGAAATCAACCACTGGTGAAGCTGTATAGACACAATTACCCCACAAACCATCAACGCTATACTCGACTGTAGTTTTTCACCTGTCCATCCGTACTTTTTTTATGTGTTCGAAAGGTTTTGCAATCTTCCTGATTTCTTTATACTGTTGAAACGCAAACTCATCTAAGCTAACCCACTGTTGGGAATAGTTGTGCTTCTGTCTACCTGTAGGATTGAAGGCATTTTGTAACCTTTTTTTCAAAGATGACTAAACAGCAACTTAAAAACGTATATCCGAGTTATCAACCCGCATTGACTAAGTTAGTTGGTATGATTTTGCTCATCTACATTTGTGGTTTGATTCGGTCCACCATGATATTTAGTATAAAATCTACAATTATTTAAGAATCTACTACTAAATTAAGCACGATGTATATTTCAGGTCCATCATCGTTTGATGGTTAAAGAAGCTAGTGATATGGACTTAAACGATCTTGAATTGTGTAAAATGTTAAAGATGCCGAGATCTACTAAGTTATTTGAACAAATTTGTTCTAATCTATTTGGTCGTTTTGCTTTCTGTAAAAGGTTCAGGGAATCCTAAATTATCAATACTAGTGAGTGGTATATCTTCAAATAATTACTGATGATTTTGGTAATGGCCGACACAAAAAACATGGATTCAACATCTGATTTTCCATTTTGCTTATATTTTAATACAAGTACAACCTGGTAGCAAATTTCCATGGCACCGATATCACCAGTTCAATAAAAATCTCGTCAATAACTTATCAGCTATCAAAATTGTTGTTAAACATAATCAACCATATTTTTAATTTCAAGGGGAAATCCTCACATATAAGTGTAGTGCTACAGTACTTTAAATGTATTATTTATGAATCCTGTGTTTTTCTGCTCATTAACGACATCTTAACGAGTGTTTGATGTATTTTCCATAGGATAATTATTGTTGTTGGATTTTATATAAATGGACCTTATAATGTATTGTTTCCGTAGCTTTGAAATGGCGTACAGAGAAGTTCTCCATTCTTCTTCTGAAGATGAATCTAGCAGCAATGATGACATTTGTTGGAAACGAAGAAAATCAGATATTCGAGCCTCACCAATGAAAGAGGATTTCAGTGTAAATATCCCAAAGAAACCATATAGAAAAAATCGCAACTGTGTTTGGGTAAATGTTATTAACGAATACAAATTGGATGATGCTTTGTCAGTAGCTCATGTTCATGAAGTAAGTCAAAACAACATAATCCAGCTTTTACTGTAGAAATGTGACTCTAGCAGGGGTGTTGAAAGCTATTTGGTTAACACAGATACTGATGATGAACGGAAGACTATTGAAGTATGCACTCAACCAGAGTTGTCTACTAGGTTTGAAAGTTCACACGTAAATTTATATTTTTCAGAATATTAAAAAAACCAGATCTCTCTATCAAGCAACGGCTTGGACCACTTCTATGGGACCAGGAAGTATCTAGATCACATATTGATGTTACTTTCGACAGTCCACCCGATCTTGTCGCTGAAACTATCACTAATCTACTAAAAGAACCGAACGAGGATTTAATAAGTATGTTTTCATTTACACTATGACTGATATTGTACAGAGCGAACTGTTGATATTTTGGGTGTTCAGCGAGCTCTCGAATTTTACTACCTTACGGAAGATATCGAGAACAATGGTGGTCTCTACTTAATGGTAGGTTTCCACATAATAGCGCGTTTCCTAACCTCACTACATTTTAATTGTCACACCATATGTAAACCTATATTACGTTTATATAATGTAAATTATCCTGTTTTTATTAGTATATTCAATTATGGTATTTGGTAGGATATTATTCTCCCTCATACTATTGAAATTTTAGTGAATGTAGATTATCAATGGACTGTGATGAAACAATCTGTTCCGGTTTACTTGAGATATGAGGATTGTTTAGCTGAATAGTTCTTCCAAAACTTACACGTTTGTCTCGTCCTTAAAAAAGAAACTTATATGTTATGGTTTTGTTATAAATTCGTAACATATTTTTTGGTTCTTTGCTGAGACTCAGTTGGCAGATGAACTCCAGCCGACCATTGTGTGTATAGGACCTCTGACCGTTTTGCATAAGATGTGTCTTTAAAATTAAGCAATTATCAAGCATTTGTTGTATGTCACGTTTTCTTTCCGTCCAATGACAAAAGACAATGATCAGTAATTCTTACTTTTTCTGACACTACATAATTTGTGATAAACTTGATAAAAGAAATAAACACTACCTAATGCTTTCAATCAATAATTATTACATTTAGTATTTGTTTGTAATTCAATACAAAGGTTAAAGAAATCTCTTTGGAACAGAACTAGGAAGGCAACTTGTCATCATCTCATTTTATTTCGGGTCTTCAATTAAATGTTAGTTTGCAGTAAAATTTTCCAGAATACCTATATACGTAGTTTACCTTTCTTCAGCAAAGCATTCTTTTAGCTGATATTCCTAACATCTAGCATTTTTCTGACCATATAACTCATGAATAACCGACACCTAACTACTTTAAAGTTAATGAAATTCTATCCACTTATTTCGCATTGAATCCTGAAAGTCTTACATTTGTTCAGTTATTTCATATCATCAGAAGCATCTAGTCAGGTTGAATTAATCATTGTTTTGCAAACTCCACTCTTAGTTACGTATTAGTTGCTATCTAATCACCTTAAATACTTGTAACTAGTACCAACCATCAATATATATAGATCCATGAAAGTTAGACCATTTATTTATTTAAACACAAACATTGGTACAAGGAGGCACCAAACAGATGCCGCACCCGAAGCCTTTGACTTGGAGGTCTGGTCCACAAGGCGTTGGAGAAACGTAGGGAGATACAGTCCTATGGTAGCTGACGACCAACAAAAGGTTCATACGCCATTTGTTTCCTTAGGATCCTGCGACCCAGTTACACCACTGGTTTGGAATACGAGTTTTCCAACTCCCCTAGATGGATCTCCTGTATCCATCAACTTGCTTAAAGCGCCGAACATTCGCTTTTCGTCCACTCGATTTCTTAAACAACATCCCCGCCACGAGAAGGTAGTGAGTAGGATTTCCATGGCAGTAGTTGTACCCACGTATCTATGTGAAAGCATTTCGAGAGGCAGAGCTGGCTCTCCTCACTCTCAGCCGTACCTGCTTCAGTTCAGGCACATGGACAGTATCCTAGCCCTCACACAGATCGAATGATTTTTGTGGCGCATATCTATTTGGTGCATTCTTGTACCTATGTTTATGTGTTTAAATAAAATGAAATAAATAATCAGATCATGTATTCATATGAGTCTAATTGATAGCTAGTAGTTAATAACAAATAAATTCATCTGTGGTCATGCACGACACACACTAACCATCATAGTAGCTTATGAAATTTCCTGATTTTTGAAACCTTTTTTCAAATTTGTATATCTACTGTAAGCTGTGTCATTATACAAAACGTTACGTAGTTGAGAATACAATCATTCAAATCGCTGGAAACGATCGTTTTCAGTTTATTTTGAATTTAGACATATTTTCTCTTGTTTTTTTATTGACTGGTGCGAATGTCAGAGTGATTGAGACAAAAATTAACACTTAGAATCGTTCCAAGTTCTTGACGCTCGTCGATTTATTCCGACAATAGGAATATAGGAATGTATGCAAATTCTTTTCTCTAGAGCTCCATAGAGTTCTCGCTAGGACCACAAAACATGATGTTCGAAATGCTCTGCTAATATAAAAGCAGCTGGTGTATTTTGTAACCTTCAGGTATTGAAACTCATCCAAGCCCCTTGCCCAAAGTTTTGTGTAGGTCAGATTATTTATGACGTTGACGGGATTTTATGTAGCAATCTTTAAAGCCACGCGGTTGTTGATTGGAACACTTTAAAAGATAGTTTAACTGTAATATACTACTTAAAAATCTTCACCCAGATTTTCATTAACTATCAAGTCATAGAACTTAGTAAGGATACAGAGGATGATTTAGCTACTAAGATGTTACAAATTACCCAGTTTCATGTCTCTTAACTCTTGACCATATCAAAAGAATAAAATCCGAATTCTATACATTCCATAATCAATTGCATAATGACCTAAAAACTAATGTTTCGCTTTGAGACTCTATATTTATTCTTTCATAGCTTACTCTGTTTTTCAATCGATTTCGTTAGGATGGGTCTCGAAGACGATCACCTGGTGGTGTTTATCTTAACCTAATCAAACATTCCTATTCAGTAAAGAAAGAAGAAAAGAAGTTGATCTTTCTGATTGATAGACAAATGAAGGATAAGTTGAAAAGGTATTTAAAATAAAAGTATTTAATCCGTGTGATTCAATGTTCACTTAAGTTTAAGATATTCTTCGAGTCTATAACAGGTATTTTATAAAGCTGGAGATTTGTTGAAGTATATTCATCTCACAATTTTAAGTGAAAATCATCTAATTTTCAATATGTTTTACAACAATTAAATCTATAATAGTTCCATAAATCTCAGGTAACCTGGCTTTAGATAGTAGAAAATTTATCAATTCATCAAACATTCTACAGTTATATGTTTTTTTGACATTAATCGGGAGCTCAAAGTGAAGTTGTGCTGCTGGGTATGTTTGCATGAATTGGTTTTAACGTGACTGCAGAAACAATATCTCTTTTAGAAGGAAAGTTGAGTGAGACTATAATTTATGGACGACCTTCGAGCGATGCTGAAGTGACCCTGAGAATGGACACTTACCTATTAGGACTAAATGAGGGTTATAAACCAGTTAGAATCATGATTTACGGTTGATGGTTAGGCTTAAAATTTAGATTTATGGTTTTCATCACAAACTGACATCAGCTATAATGCCAAAACTCTATTTAGCTACATTTATGTGTGAATTTCACGCCACAATTCAAAACTCGTTATCTTATATCTGATTGGTTCGTCCATAAATTATAGTCTCACCGAAAGATGTGGCCAGGGTCCACACTTAATACCACATTTTATTCGAGTCATAATGGAAAAGAGTATAGTAGAGGATCAATTAGCTTTCTATTTGCGTCTTCTAGCCAGACATTGATGTAGTGGGACCCCGACAACCCATAAGTCTTAATGTTTTGACTGTTTTTCATTTGCCGCTGTTTCATTTGGTAAATAAAATATCACCAATCCTACAGGGAATATAGGCGGACTAATCAATAATCGTACTGGAGTAGAAAACCATCCTCATAAATAATGACTCGATCGCACGAACCCTATTGTATTTTGAGAACCTTTTCTTTTTGTTTTTATAAAAGTAAGGTGACAAAATCTCTTGACATCAGTTGTCATTATCGAGTATCTGCTCGTACCAACGGACAAGAAGTTCCCCTAACAATCGTGGGGCTTTCTAACCACAATGGGATTTATCTCTTCTGTTTTTCTCATCTCTGTCCGAACACTCTTCAATCCCTTCCGTTTCCTCAGCTCTTGATTTTCAGAATAGTCTATTTATTCTCCTGAAATTTTCCTATTAATTTCATAATCATACAGCTAGAGAAATCTTATTGTAGTAAGGGTGTTAGTTCTTGAGGTACGTGATTTGTTTTCTCTTTGTTTATTCTCTTTCATTGTGATTGTAATGGACGGCCCATTGTTCTATATTCGTTAATGGTTTAATTAACTAACCATACAGCAAGTTAGTTGCCATGTCATGTAGATACACTTCATGTTTTAAACATTTCACTCAAAAATAATGACCATAAGAATATTTTTTGTCTTATGGGCTTTTTATGTTCAAAATTCTTATTAATCCTTTATTTAATTAACTTAGGGAAATATTACTGTTTCACATACACTATATTTTAGCTTTCACGATAAGTTGATAGCCTGAGGATTCCGACTGACTTAACATTAAAAAAATCTTTGAATTTCATCCTTTTAGATGATGATAATCAGTTGTCTTTTTGGGTTAATGTGTAATTCTGTATTTACTCATAAACTTAAAGAGTAAATACACGTGTTCGCTTCCTGTGAGTGACGAATTATTGTTTTATGTAGAGCTCGCAGGAATTCTCGTCGTGTAAGAAAATATGAAGAGTCAGATATTGTATGCGAACTTCCAAGCAATCCAGCGAAATCAGTCGAATCCGATTGTCCTTCTCCTTTAGATATTCACAGTTCTCAAGAACCAGTTATTTTGGAAGGTGAAATTTCACAACCTGCTTCTCCTGTAATTACAATGGATACAACGTGTGCAAGTCCGTGTGAAAAATCACCTGAAGATAATGAAAGTATGGAAGAAGGTGAATTGCCTCCTAGTGATGACGATATCTAAACCTTTGTATAAAATCCTTTCCCTCTGATGCTATTCCAGTTTTGAAATAAATAAATAATATACAGTTTTAAAATAAGTTAAAAATTCATGAAGTTTTAAGCAGATACGTTTTACTCTTTTACCTCGATGAACATTTACTTCGAATCGTAAAATCTGTATACTAAGCATTTTATCATGTAACATTTTTTTCGTAAGGAGAATTAAAATCACAGGTAAATATTTGTCTCGGAACCTTTTGTACACTAAGGTTCCCCACAAGGAGAAATATATTTAACATCAATTAGTAATCTTAATTGTTTAAGGACCCGTATCTTATTAAAAGACTAATATTTGAACAAAGAATATTTTTTCCGAGAAATTCTTTTCAGGTTCTACAATTATATATCCAAATTAATAATCCGAAGTGTGGCCAGGCTTAGGGCAAAATGCATCGTTTAAACTTGGGATAGTCAAATAAAATAAAGTTGTTAATGTTGATATGACTTATACGAAATGTTAACTCGGATCAGCTTATATGTTAAGTGAGAATTTTAGGATCCATGACCAGAATAACTATAGGTTAGACAGGGTGAGAGAAATAATAATGCAATTACAACTCTATAAAATTTTTAGTTGGAAATTGTTGTGTAAAACAAAATTATTAAGACATAATAGGTTGGATGGATGCAGATTAAATTAATCATTTATTGGGGAGATTAATAATGATGCTTAACCAATAGTAATAATAATACAAAGATTTATGATTAAAGACAACATAGACAATTACATTTAGCTATAAATGGTCGTTCGAAGAACTTTCAGTCTGACAAGCATTGACAAAAATTACTAACGCGATAAATAAATGAAAAGGATTGGTTCATGTTGGCACTATGACCAGTTTGCACTAAATGGGCCAGTATCGAGCTGTTCACTTTCTTCACCAGACATTTGCTTAGTCAAGCTAGGAAGTGTTTTGGAGCGCGGAAATGTAAATTCCTAGAACTTTGAACAATATAACTCGCTCCTCAGGAGCAGTCGAACTGATAAACAGAAAATGAAGTGTTCATTTTAGGTAATTCATCTTTCGGCCTCAATGTCACCGTAGGCACGTAGAAAATACTGATTGTAGTTCTCCGCTGTTGACAGATTTTATGGACTGTTATGCTTAATCTCTGAGTTAATATTTCGCTAGCCACATCCCCTCTGGATTGTCAGCGCATGAACAGAGGTTTTTTATTCACCGTCTTCATTTCGCCTATTCACACCGTGCTTCAACTTTAAACGATGCACGTTGCCCTAAAACTGGCCACTTTCCGGATTATTCATTCGAATGCATAATTGTAGAATCTAGAGAGAACTTAACGAAATGAATATTCTTCGTTTAAATCTTAGTATTTTAATTGAGAATTTTTTATTTTTGTGAATATAGTCCTGACTTCAGTATTTCATATTTGTACTTAAGTCTTAATGAATTCCACAACTTCACTCATCCTCTTCGGCTAGTAGAGTTCATAACGAATAACAACGGATTATTTTGTATCGACTAAATCATATTTGAGACTTTCAGATTAGCAATAGATTAGCAACTAGTCAGTAGAAAACAATCAGGTTCATCGGTATCTATATTGATATATAGTCTTAAGCACCACTGGACAATCTGAAATTAAATATATTTAGAAGGATAAGAAGAGATAAAAAGAATATCTAATGTGTTGGGGAACTAATAATCACATTAATAACGGTAATAATGATAAACACGAACATAAGGAAACTTCATATATTAAGATGAATAGAAATAAAATAAAATAAAAGATTCAGAGGTTTCATTTTGCTTTTCAGGCAATTAGATGGATGACGGGCCTTGTTTGTATAAATCATTATTGAATACATTGATATTCAATAGGTGAAATAGTCCACTTTCGGAAAGAAAATCATCAAGGAGACTTCTGAACCGGGTTGTAGTTTCTTTGCAACGTAGGTTCACTGGCAGTCTGCTCCACATGGTTGAGTAGCGAATAAGGAAAAAATTCTGACGTAAGTTTGTGTGGGTTCTTGGAATCGTTAGAATATTCTCCTTATTGCGTAGATTGTGGGATGATATCATAGAGTATGAAGGGGTGGATACCGAAGAGTAGGAAATACCGTTAATAAGCCGGTAGATAAAGACAAGATTTAATTTGATACGTCTGGTCCAAAGAGGTTCTAAGTTGAGTTGTCATCTTTGGTGGTAGTCTTTGTTATCGGAATACCCCAAAACAGCTTTGGTGTATTTTCCTTGAACACTTTCAATTTTAATCAGGCCATTATGTCTGCAATTACTGTAAACCATATTCAAGAATGGGTAAGCTACATTTTCTGTATAATAATAATAATCTCGATTCGATATTATAGAAGTTTATCATTATGAATCCGATAAGCTTTCTAGCTTTGAATACTTGAAATGCAATGTACTCAGAAAAGTTCAGACTGTTGCTACATCTTAAACCCAAGTCACGAACAGTGTTGAGAGGCTTGAGTGTATGTTTGTGTACAGTCAGATTTAAGTTAAGGCAGCGGTCAATGTGAATAAACCCACTTTTGTCAACATTAAGTGGCAAATTCCACGAAACAGTCCACTCATATGACTTGTTTATTTCCTCCTGGATTACCGCTGAAATATAGCTTTCTTTCATGGGAAAAGAGAATGAATAAACTACTTTCAGGTCATCAGCAAAAAGGAAAGGCTTACCATACTGAAAGAGGGAACATGCATCATTGATAAAAAGGAGAAAGAGTAATGGACCAACCACACTTCCTTGTATAACCCCACTGGTTACATTTACAGGTTTAGAGTAGCAAGATCCAAAGCGAACGACTTGGCTACGTTCTTCTAAAAAAGATTTGAGCCAAGATAAAAGGGGATTCTGTATGCCAAATAGAGAGAGTTTTAAAAGAAGAAGTTTGTGTGAGACACTGTCGAAAGCCTTACTAAAATCGAAGTAAAGAATTATCACTGACTGACCAACATCTCTTCTCTGGGTAATTTGATCAAAAAACTCCAGGTGCGATGTGAAACATGAGCGTTTAGTCATGAACCCGTGTTGGGATGGGCTGATTAGACTAGCCGAAAGTAAAAATGATAATAGTTGTTTGTGGATGATTTTTTCCATGGTTCTTGAGAGCACGGATGTCAAATCAATTGACCTATAGTTAATAATATCACTACGTGATCCTGTTTTGAATCTAGGGGTGATAAGGGATGTTTTCCATACAGATGAATAGGTCCCATATTCCATAGATAGATTGAAAAGTTTCAAACAAAATAGCGGGAATTCTCTACTTCCATATTTCACAAATGATGTAGATACCCCGTCAGGTCCATCATCATAAGACAAGTGGAGTCGTCTATAGCATCAAGGGTATTGTCCTCAAATTTGCACGCTCGAATGTCTGAACGGACATATATTATATATATATATATATATATATATATATATATATATATATATATATATATATATATATATATATATATATATATATATATATATATTCCATAACATCTATCGGTTCTAAAGAAAACGTAGTTATCTAAATTCAAGGAATGATCGTATATAGATGAATTACACCACGTTTCCGTAATAAGTACAATGGTTGAATTCACAAGAAATAACAGAGTTTTAAGATGAATAATTTTATTGAACAGAGAGCGGGCATTGAACGAAAGAATAAGAAACTCAGAGTTATCATGGTGAAGCAGGTTAGAGTATTAATCGCAATTGGTAGTTCCATGAATACTCGTAGGATTAGCTAAGGTAAGAGTTGTGTTGCGAGGGGAAATAGATTCAACCACTTTTTCATCATGTGAAATATGTTTACCGTTGCCGGCAGGAAAGCCTGCGGAATTACAAAAAACGTCTTCCCATTGCTATTGGATATAAAATCTGATAAAGACATACTGTACATATTGGAAGCCGGACCAAGAAGGCTATCAGGTCTATGTGTGCGACCAAGTGGCCAATTACAATTCAGATAACTATTTATACCTGACGTATGGGCAACGTGTTTAAGACGTTTATTCCCAAGGTTTGTGGTTGATTTCGGCTTCTTTATAAGTTGTAGAGGATTGTGTGCTGTTGAACATACTTGCGATGGTTTGCGAGGTTCGAATATATCAACGTTAAGTGCGTGGTCAGTTATATGAATGTTATGATTAGTTTTCCTGTTATCCGTTGCACAGTTACTGTAACTGGGCGTTGCACTAACAGGGGTTTTGATTGTGTTATCTCATTCGTCATCAGAACAACTACTTCGGGTTGAATCTAGGTCAACATTCTTAAGAGGATGGACACCATCTACATCAGGATTACTTTCTTCTGGGTTTTGAACTTTAGGAGATTCAGAAGTTTTTCGGTGGCGGCCTACTTGTAAAGATAGATGTCTCCTTAGAATCGGACTTAACTTTAAGACCATTAGGGTTATGATGCGTTTGAGAGTTTGACGCTGGTGGTTTGTAGCTATCTCTTCTTGCTTTCTGCTGGCATGGTGTTTTATCCGGAAGAGTCTTAATATCCTTAAAATCTGATTTTGTCTTAATAAATTGGAGGAATTAAAAATTCACTGGCGTCTACAGATGAGTTGAATTTGAATTTGAACAAGATCAGTAAGTGCATTCCAGGATGACTTCTTTTTAATCTTGTGCATACACATGGTATGTGTGTCATATTGCTGGATATAAGCAGACTAGATTTGATATTTTTAAGGGCATGTGTATCCGGTATATTAAACACAATTGCATTGCTAGATCGTCTTATTCTTTTAAATACCTCTGATGCAACACGATCTAGGAAAATGTTTATGTCATTCATTTGATCTGAAGTCTCTGTGAGGTTGGGGTTGATGAGAGATATTTAAGCGGATTGAGAATGTCCATGTCTACTTGCAACTTTTTTATAGCATCCATATGGTTGCAGTTACGATTATCATCACTGTTTACCAGCAGAGTTTTCAACATGTCTGGAATGGAGACAACTGGTAAAAGC